TTTTTTAAAAGTTTTTTATACTTCAACAAAATTATTTTCTTATATATATATATATATATATTCCTACTTTGCCATTTATTTTACATATGCTAGCAAAAATAATCAAAATTTTTGTAAAATATATGGATAATGAATATTATGTAACTATTATTACTTCAATGAAAGCAAAATTTGATAAATATTTTGATCATTTGCTCCATCTTTTAGGTTTAGCCATAATAATTGATCCTATATGTAAAGAAATTGGTTTACAAGAATTTTTAAAACTTATTTTTGTTGATCAAATACAATTTGCTCCTATTATGCAAACATACAACAGATTATTTGATGAATACAAGGCAGTTGTATCTGTAAATACACCTACACACATTACACTAGTAGTCTCATCTCAAGGAAAGAGATTAAGTATTTTTTCAACAATAAAAAGTAGAAGAATATCTCAACATACAAGCGTAAGTAGTTCTGAATTACAACGTTATTTGGAAAGCCCGTCAATAGATGATTCCGATGATTTTAACATTTTGGAATAGTGGAAACAAAATAAAACTATGTGGCATGTGGTTTTACAGATGGCCTGTGATATACTAACTGTTCTTATTTCTATAATTACTTCGGAAACAGTTTTTAATGTAGATGGACGGGTGCTGAATGATTACCGGAGCATGCTTTCACCCCAAATGGTTGAGGCACTAATGATATCTAGAGATCATATGCTTGCGTTTACGAGAAAACAAAATTATAGTAAAAAGAAGCAAATTCAAAATGATTTGGATAACATATCCTTGGGAAACGCAACTGAAATGTCTGCCTCCTCCGATAATTGATCAACAATTTATTTTTTACTATTTCATTTCTTTTTTATTTTTTATTTTTTGTATTAGATTATTAAGGTGGATTATAATGCAAATGATTGATAGGTTAGTAGGTGCCAACCTAGTTGGAAAATACTTGACTTATAGTGATGCAATTGCTCTACCATCATCAATAATCTATACCTATTTTGTTTAATAATATAAATTTTTATAATATTTTATTTTATTTTGAAATAAAAATTATTCATTCAATAAATATTATATAATTAATTTAATTTTGTAACATTGAAAGTTTCATTTTCATATATAGATAATTAATTATTTCGGAAGAAATTTTTTTTACATAATTGCATATTTTATAGTTATAAGTTCATAATTAAAAAAACATAAGTCATACATAATTCAATTTAAATACCACCCTGAAACATAACCAAACAAAATATCTCATTAATTTTAATTAAAATACACTAATATAATTTTTCTTTTATTTTTTATTCCTAATAAATAATCTATATAAATAATATATTTATCATTTTTTTTCAAAAACAAAAAGAGGCCCGACTAGGCCCGGCCCACTACCCAAGTGCAAGCTTGCTGCCCACAACTCATGCCCTATTATGAGTGGGCCTGAACTTAGGCCTAGATCTTACTTTTTGACTCATGGATCAGCCCAGTCCCGCTAAAAAAAGGGAGCCCGTGAGGGCCGCTTGAACCTGATTGGATCATTATTACATCCCTATTCATGGTAAAATTGAAGTGTTCATAGTACTTCAAATTATTGATGGATGGAAGGATGACTTAGGCATTGATAGTCATTAATGGAGGAATGGTTAAAGTGGGAATGGGAATGCTTCAGACATTTCAGAAATTGGCCCGGACCCTAGTGGTAGGGATAACAATGAATAACTTGAATATTTATGAAGACCTAATTCAAATATATAGATTTTTTCTTTTTTTTTTTATCTGTCGGGTAAGGTAAGTGATATTGTTTAAATATCCACAGGGATAGGTACCCACTAATTTCTCCATATGGCTCTTTTTTTCTTTTTTTCTTTTTAAAATTCACAACCAAAGCTAAATATACATTCAATCTTTTTCTTTTTTTTTAAGGTTCACGACCAATTTTTTTTTTTTTAATTTTTTTTTTAAGATTCACAATCAAAGGCTAAATATACATTCAATCTTGTTTCTTTTTTTTCTTTTTTTTAAATTTTGTTTTTTTTAAGGTTCACAACTTTTTGTTTTTTTTTTTAAGATACACAACCAAAGTTAAATATACATTCAATCTTATTTTATTTTATTTAGCTCAACAACAAAATCAAATACACATTAACTAACATTGTCACATTATTCTTGTCAAATTTTATGTATATCTAGAAATTTTTAAATTTATTTAGAAGAATTCTATTCCTACAAAAAAATTCCATCTTCTTTTTTAATTTTTTTTTTTAATTTTATGTACCTCCTTCTCCTCTCTATTATTTGATCTTCGATAATCTGAATGTGAGTTATTACTCTTGTTTCCATCTTCTTCTTCTTCTTCTTCTTCTTCTTCTTTTCTTAAAAATTTTTATTTACATTTATAGAATGAATTTTCTAGTTTCAATATCTTCTGCAATTGTTTTATTGGATTTCTTTCTGATTTGATGGTAACCTTAGATTGAATTTCTCAATTTTCATCTTAACTAGCAATCACCTTAATTAAAATTTTGTACATTTTTGTCTTCAATTTTCATATTTTGGTTATGATTAATTGCGCATTTTTGATCGATAGTCATAATCTTATCACCGCTAGATTGTCGTCATTGCAAATCACCATTGCTGTAGTGAGAGGATGAGAGAGAGTGAGAATTAGAACTCTAATTGTCAACTGAGTAGTGAAAACATATGGAGAAATTATTTTTCGATGTACCTAAAAAAAAATATGGAAAAATTAGTGGGTACCTATCCCCGGTTGAGATTTAAAGAATATCACTTACCCTACCTGACGAACAAGAAAAAAGGAGAAACCCAAGTATTTGGGTTATGTCTCCATGGATACCTACATGGTAGGTTATCCATTGTTATCCCTACTCTGTTGACAATTAGAGTTCTAATTCTCACTCTCTCTCATCCTCTCACTACAGCAACGACGATTTGCGATGACGATAATCTATCGGTGATTGTGACTATCGATAAAAAACGCGCAATTAATCATAACCAAAACATGAAAATTAAAGACAAAAATATACAAAATTTCAATTAAGGTGATCACTAGTTAAGATGAAAATTGAAAAATTCAATCTAAGATTACCATCAAATCAGAAATAAATCCAATAAAACAATTGCAGGAGATATTGAAATAAGAAAATTATTCTATAAATGCAAATAAAAATTTAAAAAAAGAAAAAGAAGAAGATAGAAACGAGAGCAATAACTCACGTTCAGATTATCGAAGATCAATTAATAGAAAGGAGAAGGAGATACATAAAATTAAAAAAAAAATTAAAAAACAAGATGGAAATTTTTTTTTTTTTTTGTAAGAATAAAATTTTTCTAAATAAATTAAAAAAATTCTAGATATACATAAAATTTGACAAGAATAATGTGATAATGTTAATTAATGTATATTTGATTTTGTTGTTGAATCAAATAAAATAAAATAAGATTAAATGTATATTTAGCTTTGATTGTTAATCTTTAAAAAAAAATTTAAAAAAAAAATAAAAATTGAATGTATATTTAGCTTTGGTTAAGATTGAATTTTTCGAAATAAATTTTAAAAATTCTAGATATACAAAAAATTTGACAAGAATAATATGACAATGTTAATTAGTGTGTATTTGATTTTGTTATTGAGCTAAATAAAATAAGATTGAAGGTATATTCAACTTTAGTTGTGAATCTTCAAAAAAAAAAAAAAATGATTGTAAACCTTAAAAAAAATAAAAAGAGATTGAATGTATATTTAGCTTTGATTGTGAATCTTACTAAAAAAAAAAAAATTGTGAATCTTAAAAAAAAAAAAAGATTGAATGTATATTTAATTTTGGTTGTGAATCTTATAATAATAATAAAATAAAAAAAGTCAAGTTACGTTAGAGAATATCCAAACCCATTAGGAAATGAGAAAGATAGTACCCATGAAAAATAAGAAATGAGAAAAAATAATTATAAGGGAATGGGGATGGAGAATTAATATCCATCCCATTAACCCCTATTGCCATCCCTACCCACTGGGGTGACCCCCTAGGGTACCAGTAAAGTGTGATTGGCCTATATATATATATTTTTTTTAATTTAATGACCAAGCCCCCCCATGTGTGTAAGGGGGTGGTGGGGGTGCTTGGAGACAGGAGTCTCCAGCACGGTCCTTTCATCAATGGAGGAACAAAAGGAAATGTCAGGAGGGTAGAGAGCTTGGCTGAGGGCTTGAGAATAGGGTGGGTTCCTATCCTTAAGATTCAGCTAACAAAAGAATTCCAAACTTCTATGCATGCAAATGCTTCTGCGGACAAGTTTCTCCATAGGATAATTTGGAAAACATCAAATCAATTTGAACCGCAAACCGCTCACATCATAATAGTAGTAGGGTAAAGTCCATACGTTGGGGCGGCCATAACATAAGGTTGTTACTTTCACACCTTTCTCTATATGTCTATAGATATTTAGAGAGAGATAAACACGTTATTTTGATATTATTTACAGTGGGTGGGTATGTCAACAGGGCAACCAAGAGAGAGAGAGAGAGAGAACACAGGAAAGATAGAAAAAAGTTGAAAGATACTTGTCCAAAAATTATTAAATTTCATACTAGTGTAATTAATTTTCAGAACCGCTAAATGCCCTACATAATTTCTTTAGACCCCTCATCATCTAAAAAAAATATTACCATTTTATCGTAGTATAATAAAATCCCATATTTGCCCCCATCTCTAACATCCCAAACCAAACCCTAACTCATCACCAACTCCAACCACCACCACCAACTCCAGCCGCCCACCCCTACACATCCCTAGCTTCAGCTGCCACAACCCAACCCATCCCCAGCCACCTGACCCCTCGCCCAGTCCCTCCCCCTCCTCTACACTGCCTAAGGAACCTTGACATCTTAAAACTAGATCTGTATTGTTGATCTAATGAAAAGAAAATATACATTGGTCATGAATGATTTCAATTGTGAAAGTCCTAAACAAAAGAAATCCACTCTTCAGTTGAATGCAACAGATGATTTGCAAATCTAAACTCTGGCCAGGTATGCGTTTTTGACATAAAACATTTCATCTTTACAATGTAAAAAAGCTAGACACAACCACCCTCTTTATTCTTAATCTAATACATTAAATACCAAATTTACAACTCTATACCAAACCATTCCAATGATTAAAAACCGCTCAAAAATCTGGAAAAAAAGAACATACAACATTTCTATACCTCCCAATCATTTGCACCCACAAAAAAAAAATTGGCGAATAATGATTGACTGAATACACAAAATCAAATGAAAATAAATGACAGACGAAGCCGGAAAAAAAGGCCTCTTTTCAACTTACTCTCAGACTGCGATAGCGTTTGCGAAATTCAACTCTAGTGGCCTCAACGCACCTTGGACAATATCTTGAACTGTTCGGTTACGGCGACAAACTTCTGATAGCTCTTCAATGGGAATCATGAGGGAATTAATATCACCCACAGATGCCACTTCTGACAATGCCTGCAAAAATCTTGACCTTTCCACTTCTGTTGCAGCAGTTGATGGAATTAGCAAAATGCTATCCTTGGCCCATTCTAAAGCTCTTGACCCATATGCCCGAGTTAGAGCTAGTAGAGCATATATTACCTGTGGAAATTTATAAAAATTGAAAATATGTACAATTGCAACTTCCAATTTGGCAAATTGAATTGAAAGTTTTTTGTTTTGTTTTTTTTTCTTAGAAAAAAGGTTTTACCGTTTCTAGTCGAGAAATTGGGAGTGCTCCAGTTAAAGAGGCAACCAAAATTCTGGTGATGGTGGCACCTCGAGGAATAATTACACTATCCCTGATAGATACATATTTTTCGCCCTGATTTGAGTTTCCAAGATCAAATACATCAGATAAGAAAGTCAATATGGAGTTGGAGGCCTCCCTGCAAGGAAAATACGAGGACACAATTACATATTAGTCAAATGAATCGCTAATTATTTTAAGATTGATCATATGAACATGCAGAAAAAATGAACAGAAAGGATGGTCTTTATGCTGAAATCCAAGTTCAAGCTCACTCAAATCCCGGATTGCCTTTCATGCATGATTTAATTAAACAAGAAAGCACTCACCACATGTAGGGTTGCAAACGAGCCAAGCCAAGCCAAGCCGAGCCGAGCCGAGCCGAGCCGAGCTTTAGTATGCTTGGACTTAGTTATTAAGATTTTAACGAACTTGAGTTCAAGCTCGAGCTCAATAAAAATTTAACAAACCGAGCTCGAGCCAAGTTGGCTTAGGCTTGACTCGAGCTCGAGCTTGTTCACAAGCTTGTTCACGAGCCTTAACGAGCCAAAAAATTTATAAATTCATACTTGCATATGAGACTAAAGTTACAATTAAAAATTTAATTATACAATTATATATACAAAATATGTAAACATTCTAAAAACAAAGTCAATATTTTATCAAATAATAATATCTATTACCACTATTATATAAATGTACTATCTATAATTAACTATTATTTACATTTATATTTTTAAATATATAAATAACATATTTATCTTATTTTTATACATACATAAATAATAAATATTAAATGAGCCAGCTAATGAGCCAAGCTTTAAAGTGTTTGGGCTTGTTTATTAAAAATTTAACAAGCTCCAACTCGAACGCAAAAAAAATTTAATGAACCGAGTTCGAACGAGCTCTTATCAAGCCGAGCTCGAGCCTATTCATGAACGACTCCGTTCATTTGCAGCCCTAACCACATGACAAGTGACCTAACGAATATCAGTTTGGCTAGGTTGATTTTGCAAGAAACTACAAGGAAGTAAGAATTGAACAGTTGCTAGATTGACTGTTAGCAACATGTATTCTTTGAAATTCTCTCTTTTTGTAGCAGTTCTCAAACTACTAATCATAATTTGTCATTATATTTTATTATTGTCACTTTCAGTGAAAAAATAAAGCAATATTAATAATGTCCAAATTTCACTTTCAGTCTCCATCATATTTTTGTTTTGCTTTGTATACGGAGATGCACCCCCTGGTGGCCTTTTGATTTAATAATATATACACCCAAACAAAGCAGTATTGCACGTTATATCATACTTCAAGAGACAGCCAAACTTAAGCATGACTATTGAATCCCTTGGCAAGATTCCAGCAAGGGAATAAATTGGATCTTCTTCCACTCTTGAACTCCAAAAAAATGAACAAACCACTAATTAACTTCATGGCTGTTCAAGTCCTTAATATACTATAAGTAACCCAAAAAAAAAAGCTTCTGATAAAAATGCTCAAATTTTCATGCTCTTGTGACAGCTACACATTTATCATTTCTTTTTCTTCTTTTTTTTTTTTTTTTTAAATCTTTGGTTTTGCATAACCATCTTTTTCCAAGGAATAATCTGTTAGCCCTACTTCTATTTTATTTTTTTAGTTCAGCAAAATGAATAGGATATGTGACCCCAACATTAAGGTTGACAAGGGAACAAGATACCTACAAAGCTAGAGATTTTTATTTTTTGACAAATAAAATTTATTGCAAAAAGCATCAAGAAGATGCAAAGAATTCAAAACCGGAGCCCAGAAAACTGGGCAAGAACCTAACCAATCAAGTCATTTACAAATCCAAGAAAACAAACAAATTCAGATCCACCTTACCGGACCACCCAACTATACAAAACATACTGAGATCTCAAATTCCAGTTAGAACTTGCACAAGTGCACGCGCATTTGCATGTGTGTGCATATGAGAGAGAGAGAGAGAGATTTAACCTGTGCTGCACTGTGACGCCAATCAGAGAACAATCCACTAATGAAGGAAATACTGCTGAAGGGAAAAACAAATGAGGACAATAGCGAATACACCTCGACGCCAACAGAAAACAATCATCTGCTATGTCCGGTCTGGAAGTGAAGTCCTAAAAAGCAGATTCCTTCAATCAAATCAATGAAAATACACGTAAATCTGGGAGGAAAGGGCAACACACTAGTAATTGACACCATGCCTGAATTTTTGTAAGCAAACATATAGTTTGGCTGAACAGTGATTCAATCATAATTTTTAAGAAGTCTGCACAAGATGGATCAGACCCGAATATCTGCATCACAAGATCCAATGATTGCTCAAGAAAAATAAACAGTTAAATAAACACCGCTAAAGTTCAGAGAGAACGATATATACCTTTATAACTTCACTAGAGAGATAAAGGAAACATGGTTGGTGGTGTTGATTATACAGGCCTTGTATCTCCTCTAGCATTGCTCCAATTGTAATTCCCATGAACCTTTTAGAAGTTCTCACCTAAACATTAACAGTTCAGTGTCACTGGCAAGAAGGAAAAAAAGATTGTGATGTATGAAATCATTAGACAACATTGAATTTGTCATCAGACTTCAAGGGTATGTACGATAGAGCATATGGGATGTAAAAATTCTAGAAAAAACAAAACCAAGTCCAGTACCAATTAGACAAGATTAATGAGATATTTGTGTAAGATTTGTTGGTTCAAAAGCACAACTAAAACAGGAACATGGCGTGCAAACTTAAATGCACCCAAGTTGCTACCTGCAACAGATTATAGAAAACACCTTTATGAGTGAACTTGATTATTAACTTTGTAAATTCAATCTGGACTCACCAGCTTTAGAAATAATAAGCACTACTTGTTAAGATGGCTTGCTCAAGTATGGAGAGAACCAATGGCAGAGATTTTCAGATCTTAAGTTCAAAATGGATAAACACAAAATTAGTGACATCAAACTATAGAGTGACAACCCTAACATGCATACCATTATTGCATATTATATTATTATGTGAATTTGCATGTTCATGTGCTTAATTTTGTTTATATATCTATTTGATTTTGGAATATCTGTTAGAATGCCTAATTCGAATCAGCAATTGAAAGCCTCAATGAATTTAGAAACATAAATTGACAAGTTTAATAGACTAATTAGAATATCAAAAATGCTTTAGAGCTCTAATATAAGAGCTCTAATAGCTCTAATGGGAAGGTGGGACCCATCCTGATGTGATGTTTGTGTCTTGTTTTGTTTTTTTTTTTTTTTTTTTTTTTTTTAGAGCTCTAGATTTAGAGCTCTCTAGCATTTCCCTTAGAATATTTAGAACCATTTGGAAAGTATAATTAAAATTTGATTCATATTAAATTAATTAGGATTAATCAATTAAAAATTGAGTAGGATTAATTAGACTTAAGCTTACTTAATTAGCCTAATTTAATTCTATGTATATATATGAGCTAAGTAGAGTTAGAATCCATTTTATTACATCTTTGGGCTCAAAAATCTGGTAGAACTAGTCTAGAGAGTGAGTGAGACCATTTTAGAGAGAGAGAGAGAGAGAGAGAGAGAGAGCGCACGCTAAAGAACTTGAAGTATTACTTGGAGGATTGAAGAATTAAGAAGAAGAGGTCAAGTTTTTGCAAGAACAAGCTTAATTGGAGATTCTAGGTATGAAATCCAACCTCAATTCTTGGCCATAACTCACTTAGTAGATGAATACATGAAGAATATGAGTTTAATCACAAGTAATGAGCTAACAGAGGATGAAATTGAAGCTAGAGCATACATCCATGCATAGTTCCATCATATTTTACCATTTTGAGCATGAGTTTTGGTATTCTTGATGAAATTGGGAGTTGAACTATACATGCATCAAAGAATTACAAGTTTTAAGAGTTTAGTTTCATGTTTTAAAGGTTTTGGAAAGAGTTTGAAAGCAATTCCATACTTGCATGGAAGTTTTGATTTCAATTTTGTAAATTCATGATGCTTTTGAACTCATGGCTTTAATTTGGTTTTATATTCATGTTTTTCTGTTTCCATGTATTTAGTCCAGCCATGCAAGCTTTCGAAACTTAAAATCATATTTTGGAACTCAAATTCTGTTATGAAAAATCCAGAATTCGATCTCATCTCGGGCGCACCTAGCGACCTTTCAGTATTTTTTTCTGAGCATTACATATCTCTCGAGCAACCAAGTATTCGCTCGAGCAAACTCCGTTTTTCTTTGCACACTGCTCGAGCAACCAAGTGACCGCTTGAGCCTACTTTGACACCATCCAATACTCTTGCAAACTAACGATACCGCTCGAGCAACCTAAGGTGCGCTCGAGTGAACACCCTATTTTCAGTAATTTTTGAAAAATACTTCCATATGGATATTTTTATCCTTGTGCTCTTTTAAGCATTCTTAGACATTGTTCAGGCATCATTAAGGAAGGAATAAGCTAGAAATCAACTTAAGAAATTGAATTGAATCGGAATGAGATTGGATCAATTAATTGTTGAGTGGTATGTTTCATTGTACCTTTGTTATGTATTTTGTGTAGGTTGGTCACCCGAAGGTTAACATTAGTACAAACCTACTGTGAGTAATATCTATATAAAGATATATTCAAAATATATTTTGAAATTGTTCAATAGTGATGTTTATGAAATCTTATTTTGTATCTATGAATGAATGTTCTTTTTGAAAATATATTTGTGACATCCTTTAGTGAGGCTCTTGCTTGGAGGACATAATACCAAGACCCATTGGATTAATTGAAACATAGAGATCTCTGATGTCAGACTCTAGTGGTCCACATTGAATTATCCGCTGTGGTTCTATTGTTTGACCCGTCGTGGTCCCATTGAATTGACATTTATGGTCTCATTGGCTTCGGCATATTGATATTTTGTTACTCTATTGGATATTATCACGTACAATGATTTGAATGGTTATTGTTATCACAAAGGATTGATATGATTGGATATATGAATTGTTTTGGAAATTGAAAGATATGTTTTACGAAATGTTAGATTTCATTCATTAACCCTATTGATGTTACTGACCAAGCTCTACCTCACCCCCTCTCCCTTATATATATATATATATATGTAGGTGAGCATGCGGATCGTCAAGTCTAAAGCTGCTTCAGAAGTCCACTCTTTTTGTAAAGCCGTTCGTGAAATGCCTCCGTGATGGGACAATACTTGGTCTCAAGTGGAGCTAAGCTTTTGTCAACTCCTCTTGTTTAGTTCTTTTGTTTTTGATATTTGAAAACATGTTGTATGTATGGTGTTGAAGTCGAAGTTTAAACTTAATGTAAATGTTGTTATGGATGATGTATAAAGTTCAAATTACTTATGAAATTTGTCATGTAAGCACCGCTCAATGGACTTATTTATATTTTGTTATGCTTCTGTGAAGGCCCATAATTTATTAATTGAATTGTTGTCTTTGAGGTCAAAGGTAATCTAAGATTACTCGCCGGTCATGACCTAGACCTCTAAGGGCGGGTTCGGGTCGTGACATATAGTATACAAAAAAGTTGAAATCTCAGGTACTATTGAAGACATAGTCTTTGAAATCCACAAGAAAAGGATCAGAGCCATGAGACCTATTAATTGGCGTGATCATTTTTTAATAAATAAACAAACTTTATTAGAAAAGCATCAAGACGATGCAAAGAATACAAAAAGAACAAAACCTACCACAGGCCCAAAACAAAACTAACTAATCAAGTCCTCCACAAAATCTAAAAATGTCAAAACATTAGAATCCGCCGAAAGTGTAACCCAACTATGAGGCACCACAATTAGACGATTCTCTAACCATGGAACTGAATGAGCAACACCTTGAACAACATGTCTATTACGCTCCAACCACACTAACCAAGCAAACAATGAGAATAAGAAGCAAGCAACCATGCCTTCCGCCACCTCCGCCCAACCTATCCCCCCTCCCCCCAAACTCTGCAACACATCAAAAAGAGAACCCGGTTGCACCCAAGCCCCTATAAATTGGCATGATCACTAGAGCGACAACCTAAGAAGCATAGACATGGACACTTGACACGACACTAACATGCCGACATGTAAATTTCAAAAAAATGTGAGACACGACACATGGAGAGGCACATGCAAAATATAATTATATATTTATTGTCATATATAAGAATAAATAATTAAGCCAAAAAACATAATGAAGCCGGCCCCACTTGATTGGGATACAAAACTTTGTTTGGTTTCATTAAATATAATAATTCTTAAAGTACAAAAGAAGATAATAGATATAAATTCACATTGTTTTTGTTTTATCATTGGATTCAAACTTATTTTATTCAAACTTGTAATGTGTTTCATATGTATGTAAGTGTTGGGAAGTGTCTGATGAGTGTCATGTCATGTTGGTGTTGAACACGACACGTTATCTTCTTAGAAGTGTCCGTGCTTCTTAGATACAACTGTATCGCAAAGAAAGAAAGAAAAGAGGGAATGGGTATAGAAAACCGTAACTGAGTTAAGTTGGAGGTCAGTTCAATCTTAACCAAAGGTAAACACCCCTATACTGTTGCACAACCCAACCCAACTTCTACTTGCACTGCCCAAGCCAAGCCAAGCCCAACTCAACCTGTTGAGTTTGGCTGGCTTTGCAATCGGTGCAGTCCGGTTCCAATTTTTCAAATGGCCTTCTGAATATTCAGCACAATTTTGAAAGTAATGGAAGTCTTGACTCTCTGAAAAAATGTCTTCAATAATTTTCATTATTCCATATTGAAAGTCTTATTTCACAAATTCACCAAGCCTTTATAGCAAAGATTAATTTCGAGTAAACTCACAGCATTTTTGCAAGCCCGACAAAGAGACTCCATCGTCCGCGTATCCCAAGCACGACTGCAAAGTAATCATTTTCAACCTCAGATCAGACCAAGAACAAGAAGTATATAAGCTTCAGGAAATCATCCTACTGAGGCAGAGTTTACAAATTCTTACAGATCAAAGATGGCTTTGAATATTGGCCAAAGCCTTTGAATTGCATCAGCAACAGCTTCAGGATAATTTACATATCTACATATAATTTGAATTTAACAACTGATAATAATGTTCACAGATTAAGGAAATAATGGGCACAACGAAGGAAGCAACCATACCTAAAGATATTTGCAAGTCGATCAATATGAACTGTTAACTCACGAGCTGTTATTTGCCCCAATACCAAAGGACCTTGATTAATAATTTCCTGTTGTGGATCACATAAATTGGTGTATCATCCTACAGAAGCTCAATTCAAAATCTATATCGGAAATCAGCCTAACCTGTAATGGAGTAACAGCAGGCAAGCACAAGACCTCGAGGGCTTTTTTAGCATGGTCTGAAGGAAGTTCTGTAATAACCACACTGCAAAGGAAGTTGAAGGTATCGAATGAAGCATTTCATTTATATGGCAATAGACAAATGTTTCCAAAAAAATACCTTAAAGCTTCAACCAGATGCAATGAGTCTTCAGCAGAGACCTTAAAGGTACCTTCCCCAATTATGACCCTTTGGTATATATTGAAAAGACCATCCAAGGATCCACAAAGCCTCTTCCCACAGTCTACAGTCATAATAATTAAGTGTGATCAAGACTTCAGAACAATCAAAGTGAAAGACTATGCTGTTGATATATAGCTACTGTGACATCATTTTTAGGCATAGTGACAACTAGTAACCGGTAAATGTGTTGAGTGCAGAACCACATAAAATACAGAAGTCCTGATGTATCAGAAGAATGGAAAGCTTAAAGCCGAAGCACCACAGAAGAGTTGCAAATTATAGCATTGAGATCAAACGGTAATACATAAGTTGAAAACTGACCAAAATATCAGAAGCAGACACATATCAGGTAAAGGAGGAAAAAAAAGGAGGGGGGGGGGGCGGGCGCAAAGGAGAAAAGAAGAAGAAGCATCCTTTTTCCGAAATTCAAATATCTTCTAAGCAGAATGAGGCAGCAGCTGCACCATATCTAAGCATGAAAAGCGTCATTCAAATGTCAAAACCAATTCAACAAAACTTGAAGGACATGCCACACAGCACACCAAGTATTTTACCTGGATCACATAATTCAAACCAACACTCATTTTTCACCGTAATCCAATGGCTATAGTGATGCTCAACCAAGCTAGCACACCGCCAGCAATTATTAGCTTTGAAGCATGGCTTTCCTAGAGCGGCAGTTGATACTTTCAAATTTTACACAAACATTTTATATTGCTAAATATACAACATAGTTATTAAAGGCTCAAGGCATACTAAGGTGCCAACGACTCCAAAAGCCCAAATGCATGGTGCAGCACAGGAACGAGCCTGAGCAAAGGCACATGGATGATAGACCCCCAAAACAATTCACAATATGTAACGTGAAGGGAGGAGAAACTTTTGGCATATCAATTTAAGAGGGTTAGAATATACATGTATCAGTTCATTAATTTTTCATTTATTTACAATAGATCATCAGTAACTATCGTAGTATCTTAGGAACTTGGAATCAAGAAGGTAGTCTCTGAGGACTTTAATTGGCCGACTCTAGAGCCCTTGCCTGGTATACAATAAAGCAACTTCTCCATGACTTAATGAGCTTAGCACTTTTGTAAGGGCTTTAGGTGTGCCTTAAACAACTATGGGTTACAGCAATCACAGAAACTTTGTTTAAATCAACTATTACATCCTTAACAAACTTTCTTACCTAGGACTTTCCAACCATCAAACCAAATAACCCATGCACAAAATCACTGTAATACAACTATTCAAACTGCTGAATGCAAAATTAGAAACACTTCGACAAAATAATAAATTTTGTCAAAAAGATCAAGGTTTTCCTTTCTAAGCTCTCAACTTTCAAACACTTTTTAATACATGAAAAATACACAGTTCTGAAAGGGCATCCCAGTGCACAAGTCTCCCACCACTGCGGACTCTAGGAAGGTTCATATGTATCTATCAAAATCATATTTCTGTTCTCAAGCTTACACAACTTTCTTTTTCCGTCATTTAATTCAATATTTCTAAAGATTTCACTTCCAGAGTGACTGGCTTTTACCCCACAGGTAAATCTAAAATCTTTTGATATGAGCAGTACAAGAGCTCATTAATTATGAAATTCCAAATAACTCAACGTCCTTAAAGGAGAAGAACAAAGCCTAAAATCATATAAAACTTGCAACTCATCCCAGACTCGTAAATATTGAATAAATAAATCAAAGCAAGTTGCATAGAATCTAAAAACTGGATCATCTGACATGATGAGTTTGATTTTCAACATGCATGAAAAATCAAATAGCTCAAGTAAAGTAACATACTAGACAGATTAATGACAGAACGAAAAAATACGGTGCAAAATACTTAGCAGAGTAGAGTCTACATACCATTACAGATGTGTCTAAAAGCCAAAGCAGCAGCTGCTGCAGAATCTTCAGACATGCTCATGCCACTCACAAGAATATCTATGAGTGGAGGCAAGAATGAGAGTCCACTAGGCGAAGCATCAAGCCATTTTGAATAAGCTCCAATGGTTAAGCACACTGGAGGGAGAAAAATTATTAGCTTATTTATGATGATAGAAAGATAATGTTTATTAAGGCCATGCTTGGTGGCCTTTTGGGAATTGGAAGATTCGAAACAAATGCATATCTCCCTTGGTAGGAATAACCTACCATTTCCACCAGTCACCCTTGTGCTCTTTTCAGGAAAAGGAAAAAGAATGCTGTTGATAAATAGTAAATAAAGAAGGATATTGTACCAGTAGTTAGAAGCTGGGGTTGGTGAGGAAGTTTTGGAAGCAAAGACATGACCTGTATAAAGCAAACAAAACAGTTAAACATTAAGTAGCAGACAAAAAGATGGTCTAAAACCAGAATTAGCAAGAAGGAACTAACACAGCCAGCTAATGCATACATTATACACCTTTACCAGTTACAAATCTCATAAAACCACAGATAAATTATGTAAAAAGGAAAAGGAAATAGGACGGAACTATTTTCCAAAAGAAAGTTAAAACATGGGACCACAGCAGAAAGGGCGCGGGAGAAGTCATGTCACATCCTTCACGTCTTAGCAAGAGAAATTTGAACGACATTCAAACCTGGGGCATTACTTCAGCTTCTGTGACAGAAACATAATCTGATACAGCCCGAATACAATATAAAGCAGCCTCTGCTGGACGCCAATTGCTATGCTCATCATTGCCACAGCTACCTACAGCCTAAGATATCATTGAAGTAGAAAATCATCAGATCCTATGTCACAAAATTCACATGAAATACTACTAAATACAGAATCTACTTACAGATCATTATAACCATCCATCATTGTCAAACTGAAGGGATGGGAAAAAAAAGAAAAAAGAGTATTCTGCTAAGGAATAAAAATCTCTTAAATATCTACTTCTATGCAGGAACATTCCCTCAAAAAAATAAAAAATCAATAAAATCAATAAAACAAGGAAAAAAAAAGGAACAATAAAGGGATGAGGACATCATAACAGTAACCGTGCACTCTAGTAACTCCCATCACAAATAGATTCCATTGTTACATGGGGTGGGCTTTGTTTGATTCAAGCACAAAATTTTCTCAAAAACAAAAAATTGACTTCAGGGATGTATTTTCCTCAATAATGGTCTCTTACAACACTGTCCTGTAGGCAGCATCTGATGAAATTCTACCTTGCTAGGGGTGTCTAAAGCATTCTGTAGCCAGCTCAACTAGCCTTAGCACCTAGGCCAGCAATATAGTCACTTTTGGCAACAGTATCGTAAATGATAATGTCACAACATATTGCTAAACATCTACATCTCTATTTAATTGATCAACGTATAATATCTAAATCGTCCATGACATTACAATCCATTGAAGTAGTCAAACTGTCATGAAGATGCATAACAAAATGGCAAAATGAAGCCAATATGCCAATTCTCACTTCACGAGATTCTCTTCATCCATTTCTTGTCCTTTAGTGTCTCCCTCTACTACTCCCCTCCGAAATTAAACCTCTTCCTTAGCTGAAACCACTCGGTGTTCAGCTTCTATACGAACTATGAAGCTGCCTACATAAGTATTGATGAAATTAACCAAATTGTGCAGCATTATGGCCTTCAAGATAAATATTTTGAGACATTAACCAAACCAAACCAAACCAAACCAAACCAAACCAAGTCTTAAGTCCCATCAAATGGGGTCGGCTAAATGAATCCTTGTTCTCCACTCGACTCTATCCAAGACCATTTCACTAGTCAAATAAAAGAGATTCATATCTCTATTTACTACAATAGCCCACATCAATCTAGGTTAGCCCCTTCTCCTAACACTTCCATCTACCGTTACTGTATCGCATCTCTTCACTACTGCCTATGTTGATCTTGGTTGTATGTAACCAAACCATCTTAATCTATTCTCTCTCAACTTATCTTCTATCAGTACTACTCCTACCTATTCTCAAATATATTCATTCCTAACACTGTCTTTTTTACTCTTGCCACACATCCACTTTAGCAACTTCATCTCAACAACACTCGTTTTATCTACATGTTACTTCTTAATTGTTCAACATTCCGTCCCATACACCATTTCGCTAGTCAAATAAAAGAGATTCGTATCTCTATTTACTACAATAGCCCACATCAATCTAGGTTAGCCCCTTCTCCTAACACTTCTATCTACCGTTACTGTATCGTATCTCTTCACTACTGCCTTTGTTGATCTTGGTTGTATGTAACCAAACCATCTTAATCTATTCTCTCTCAATTTATCTTCTATCAGTACTACTCCTACCCATTCTCAAATATACTCATTCCTAACACTGTCTTTTTTACTCTTGCCACACATCCACCTTAGCAACTTCATCTCAACAACACTCGTTTTATCTACATGTTACTTCTTAATTGTCCAACATTCCGTCCCATACAACATCGTTGATCTAATAGCCGTTTTATAAAACTTCTCATTTAGTCTAGTGGGTACTCGTTTATCGCACAATAACACAGACACACTCCTCCACTTAAGTCACCCCGCCTTAATTCTATAGACCACGTCCGCTCCAACCTCCCCAGCCATTGTGATGATCGATCCTAAATAACGAAAATATTCTCTTAGATAATTTTTTATTCTCAATCTTCACTTATCCTCTGCTTCCATTGTTACTATTACTAAAATTAAACTCCATGTACCTTGTCTTAGTTTTACTTATCTTAAATCTTTTAGATTCAAGTGCTTCTCTCCAAGTCTCTAACTTAGCGCTAACTACTTCTCTAGTCTCATCCACTAACGCGACATCATTTGCAAAAAATATATACCATGGCACATCATCCTGAATGTTTCTCGTCAACTTATCCATAAATAAAACAAAAAGATAAGGATTTAAGATTGATCCTTAGTGTAACCCTACATAAATTAGAAATTCACTTGTCTCTCCAACAGGCGATCTAATAACGGTCACCACACCCTCATACATATCCCTAATCATATCAATATAACCTTTTGTCACCACTTTCTTCTCTAACACTCACCAGATTATATTCTGAAGCACTCTATCATATGCTCTCTCAAGATCGATAAAAACCATATGAATGTCTATTTTGAGACATTATAGCCAAAATATACATAGTTTCTAGAAGCCATCAATCGTTGTTTGCCTACAAAAATTAATGCTCAAAGCCTAAGACAACTTATCTCAAATTACATAAAATCATTTTTAAATTAAGCTAGCTGCTAGATTGGACAAGTAGTCAACAATTAGCAATTTTATACACCATGAGAAATTCCAACTGCTATATTTTGCCTTTAAACAAGTCCCAACTTTATAGAAATTTTATGATAAAAGTTTGGTTTGATCAATTCGCATTATGAAGACCACTTTACAGCATCAAAGAAAACAATTGTGTACCTCAACAAGCTTGATGTAAAGAATCTTCAGTGTTACTTCTCCTCCTAAAACCAATGCTGCATCAATTAAGACATCCGCGACATCTAGCAACATCACAAACTTCATTTAGTACAGTTAAATGCAGAGTGCCAGGACTTCCCAAAATAAAAACTATAAATGAACAATCATAACACTAAAAAACTTACTGAATTATATTATAGCAGATAAAATACGTCACGAAACCACCAAAAAAAAAAATTCAAAAAAAAATAAGAGCATGAAATATAGGGTAAACAAGCAAATACCATGATAAGGGACAAAAATAGAAATTTTCTTCCTCTTTTTTCAGGGGAGGGGTGTGTGGAAGTAGGGTGCCATGTCCCCTCTGTAACAACCCCCCCCCCCCGGCGGAAGGGGGGGGGCCTTATTGCCATCCATGATTATGTACATTGACATGAATAAGACACTAAACCATATGAACAAAGTTCACAAAGTACAATTATCTAAAAGAAAAAAATTACACACATAAGCAGGTCCAACTAAAAGGTTTGAATTTTAATTTCTTTATCTAATAGAGTTCGCAATGGATTGAATTGAATACATGATCTAAGACGATGAACAGAGTAATGACTAGGAGGGAGATTATAATTTAGCGAACCCCATTTGATGGGACTTAAGGCTTGGTTTGGTTTTATGATAATTGTAGGATTTTAAACAATGTAACTGAAGACAAGAGGATGTCAAATATATCTAATTGTAGAAGTACAATGGCACAGTACAAAATGAAACATCATATCTAACTTAAAAGATCAAAAATGTTGGGAAGAAAACAGAATTTTAACATCATTAAGTATTTTAATTTGTTACTTTATTAATCAGTCAGTTAAGAAATATAATAAAGACATACTGCATGCCTATGTATGTCATCTAAAAGAAAAAGGTCATTAAAATACTTCTCAAAACAAATTCAACATAAGTTCGAAGAATTTTATGGAATGCTAATGCCAATAAATAATTTAACCCCTATTAGACACTCAATGGATACCATATCGAGTTTGTTTGAAATCCTTAAGGTCTTCCTTTGAAAGTTCTGCATAGTCCTGAGGGTATTGAACTCTGAAACAAACCTGCAAGCCAGGGAAAAAGAAAGATAAATAATTAAACTATAATTCCAACAATATCATATCATTGAGCAGCTTAGTTGCTTCCGGTTATAAAAGCTATTGTTAATTGTTTTTCTTTTCCTTGAGCAAGAAATTCCATTACATTTTGCAACTACAAAAATAGTTTAAGTTCTTCTTGTTCGTAAGAAAACCATCCCTTGGCTAAAAGATGTAGTAGGAGACTGATAAAACATAGCAACAAAGAAGGAAATCCATTTTCTTATACTCCACAGATGCCTGCATCTCCTCATGAGTCATGATTAAGAAGAAAGAAAGAAAATTTCTTTCCACGTTATCTAAAAATTACCCATAAAACTAATTTTTCTTGTTACGTCTGGACACTCAAAATTGGAATTTGAGACATCAAATGTTTCCTTTGAAACAGAGCACCATAGAACAGGATTACAAAACTTTACTAGTGTTTAATTCAAAATTGGATTTTGGGCCATTAAATGATTTCCTTTGAAACAGAGTGTCATAGAATAGGATTACAAAACTGTAGAGTGTTTAATCCTAACATTTGATGGGAAAATTGTAAGAAGACTTACCAAGGAAACAAGTGATTCATATGACGAACGAAAAACCGACTGCCTCCGATTTCTCTCTGCTTCTATCGATGCTTCATTGCCAAATGATACGTAGGAATCCCTGAGACATTACAATCGTCACATCCAGATTTTGATATTAACATGTGCTGAACTGAACTCCAGGACTTACCTTTCAATCAAGTTAATCTGAAGATTGTGCCAGAAGTTGAATGTCATAGAAGCAATATCATATTCAGGGTGTGAAACAACTTCCAATAACGCATGCACTATTAACATTGACTCAACAGAACCTGAACAAATTTTATTTTATTTTATTTTTATTTTTTTACCAAAAGGAAAAAAAGTATATCAGAGACTGCAAAATTTTCAAAGTTACATGAAAAGCCAAACTGAAGATAAACTTGCAACTCACAGTACAACCTGGTAATTTGGAACAGAAGGGCATGCTATAAATATTGGAAAGTGTCTTAAATAAAAGGAGAAGAAGTACCATTTGCAATCAATTCAAGATATGAATCGCCCATGTCAGCAAATAAACGAGCAATGGCCTTCACATCTTCCTCATCCTGAAAATAAATATAAAATGGAAAATAAAAGCCTCATTATTGCAATTTCAGGTATAATGTTTTGAATATTAAAAATGAAATAAAAAAAACATTATAATTAAGAAGAGGAGAAACTTGGAGCAGACAGTCTCCAAATTTCTAACAATTATAATTAATAAATAAATAAATATGTTAAACTTGATTACTACTCTGTTAAATGAAGTTCAGTTGAAATTATTTCTGAATAAATTGCTCTTGCAAGAAAAATGTTTATTTTTCAAAAAATAACAAAATAAAATAAAACAAAAACATATCACCTTCTTTTTGTGGAACTAGGAAGAGCGAGAAAAGGCCAGCAATAGAACAGAAAATATTTAATTATGGACCACTGACATTCAAAACTGTTGACACTTGAGATTTCCTTGCATTCCTTAAATAGAAAGTAGGCCTTAAACAACTTTCACAATTTGTTCCTCTCATGGATGTTCATGAATGACATTTAACCACATTGCTCAATGTGAAACTCACTGATGAATTTTTATTTTGGCTTTCAGAATCTCAATGAAGGTGTCATATTTATGCATAAATTGCATTCATAATCTTACAGGAATCAAACGCAGTAAGATGTAATATTATATGAATATATCAGGCAAGCATTAGCTAGAGCAGAAACAAGATTTTCCAGTGCACAAAAGGTCAACAACACATCAGTGGTGAACAAACAGGCAGGATCATCATTGTAAATTGCCTCTGAGATACTCTTTGTAAATATGATTTGTTAAAGAACAGTGATTCAAAATTGAAGCAGAGAGCAGCTACTTGTAAGAAGTTAAAGTAATTGTACAAACGTTTGGATGGCAAGATAAACAAAAAGACACTAAAACATTATTAGACTCTAAAAAACATGGACACACGACAAGACATGCGACATGCGACATGGCAACACAGCAATTTTCATAAAATTGTCGGACTCGACATGTGGGGAACATGTGTAAAATATATAGTATATTTATTATATGTCATATATATGAATGTCTTGTTCAAAAACAAATTACAAAATACAACATAATACTAATTTCAAAGGTTTATAAGAGGAGGGAGTGATATGCATAAATCTACATTGTTTTTGTTTTATTATTGGACCCGAGTTATTTTTTCCAAAGCATTTATGGATTTAAAATAATTTAAAAAATAAAAGGACACATTTGTATGTGTCTGACAAGTTTCAGAAAGTTTCCAACTAGAGCCGGTGTCCGACACATACACGCCACCTTCTTAAATTGTTTGTGCTCATAATCAAGAAGGAAAATGAATGCAACAAAATTGTTTTTCCTCAAAGCTAAAAAATAGGCTTAAGCTTGAAATACATAGGCCACAATCCAAGCATCAATTGGAAAAGCAACAACGGTGTGCAATACACTGTCAAAATTCAAACTAGAAAGTGCACATCTGAAAAAAGGTTTGAGTATGTTCTATAATCAATAAATGGGATTCAGCCAATGGAAGCCTGTGACTAAAAAGGTCGTACCAGTGCACAATGTCCCTACTTACAGCATGGTTTGGGAGAAGTAACAAGTAGGAAAACTTAACCCCACTATTTTTTGTGGAAATGTTTATTCCTGTGACTTGAAGCCATGCCACAAGGCTGGGGGAAAATAGCATTTGTCATCATGCCAGGTCACAACCTCTAACTCTAACCTCACAACCAAAATGCCCTATGACAACTTTAACCAAAAAGTGGTAAATAAGTAAAATAAATAAATAAATTTTCGAAGGAAGTCAGGGGGATTCACTATCCCCTTTTCTTTTTATTTTGGTGGCTAACGTGCTGGGAAGGATGGTTGATAGAGCCAGAGAAGTAGGTCTTTTTGCAGGACTAGAGGTTGGGAGGTATTGAGTTAGTGTGACACACTTGCAATATGCAGATACTACCATATTTTTCTCTTCAGGAGAGGAAATAAAAATTGTTAATCTTTATTCGATTTTGAGACTTTTTGGGTTCAAGGCTTAAGATCAATTTAGAGAAAAGTAGTGTGGTGGGCATTAATATGAAGCAAGATCAGCTTCAGAGTAGGGCGGCTCTTTTAGGATGTGGTATCGAGACTCTCCCGTTCAAGTATTTGGGTCTTCCATTGGAGGGTAATCCTAAATGTGAATCTTTTTGAAATCCAATAGTGGAAAAGATTGGTAAGAGATTGGAAGAGTGGAGTAAGGCTTTACTGTCATATGGGGGTAGATGCAACTTGGCTAAGATGGTTTTGAGTAGTATTCCTATTTATTTTTTATCTTTGTTCAAGATTCCAATGAAGGTGGCAAGGTCATTAGAAAAGTTGATGAGGGATTTTCTTTGAGAAGGTAAGGATGAGGGGTAGAAAGATCACTTGTTTTATTGGGATTTTGTTTCATTGCCTAAGGAGAAGAGAGGTTTGGCTATTGGTAACATTGTGGCTAGGAGCATAGATCTTCTTGGCAAATGGTAATGGAGATTTCCAATTAAGGGTGATTCATTATGGCATTCAATTATTAGAAGCAAGTATGGGACTTAAGACAATGGTAGGTGTAAAAAATATATGTATTATTGATTGATGTATTGATTGATATCTTTGTGATAGTTACAAATTCCTATATATAGAAGAAAATGTGGTAGTAGGTGTAGGAGTGAAGTGGAGGTGGTAGGTGGAGTGTGTGGTAGTGGAGGTGAGTGGAGGTGGTAGGTGATGATATATTTTAACAGTAGGGATTCACAGGTGATTTTGAGGGGTAACAGTCATGCTTCTTGGACATCAATTTCTCAAATCTACACATTTTGGTCTCGTTATCTTTTTGTAACGGTGAGCAATGGGGAACTCGTTCGATTTGGGAGGATGTTTGGATGGGTCAATCTTCTTTTGCTTCAGATTTTCCACATCTTTATAGAGTGGCTTAATCCCATAATTATTCTATTGCTTCGATGACTTGCTCACTTTTAGCTCCTATTTCCTGGAATTTAGAATTTTCTAGGAATCTTAATGATAGAGAGGCTTCACAGCTGACTACTTTGCTATCCAGAATTGATCATTTTTCTTTGGCTCCTCTTTTGGAGGATAAAAAAGTTTAGGCTCTTCATTCATCCGATATATTTTCTTGCAAGTCTTTTTTTGATAAAATCATCGATAATCCTCATGTTACTCAGTTTCCTTTTTGCAAAAGAATTTGGAAGGCTTGTATTCCTCTAAAGGTGAAAGTGTTCATGTGGGTCTTGATTCATGGAGGCATCGTGACAAATGATACATCACCGAAACAGAGACCTAATCATTTTCTAAATCCTCAGTGGTGCATTCTGTGTTGTAAGAATGGAGAATCTTTGGATCATTTATTTTTGCACTGCCCAATTGCTTTGAATTTATAGCACAAATTGTTTCTTTTGAGGAATGTTATGTGGGTGGCACCAAAAGGTAGTGTGCATATGCTCCTAATTGATTTTTGTGCTTTCGGAGAATCGAAGAGAGCCAAAGTGCTATAGTCTTGTGCCGCCTTTGCAACTTTTTGGGTTCTGTGGTTGGAAAGAAATGCTCTGTTGTTCGAAGGTAAATTTTGGAAAGTGGATTGTTTGTGGGATAAAGTTTGTCACTCAACTTCCTTTTGGGCGTCGGGGAATTCTCTCTTAAGAGGGTTCCACTTTTTTTGTTAACTAGAAATTGGTTATCGGTGTGTGACAAATAGGCTTTTGCTTGAGATAATTTTGTTAGGTTGATGTTCTTTGTATTTCATTTTCCTTTTGTAAGAGGATGCCTTATCCCCGCTCCCTTTTTTGATTTATCAATAAAATCTTTTGTTGTTGATCCAAAAAAAAAAAGATAGTAAGGATCAGTTAGCATTATCTTTTTTTTTTAATAGCATCAGTTCTAGCAGTATCACCATTAAAGCTATGTTTATCTCCTCCCTAGAAATCAAATAGCGAAAAAAAGACCACTATACAAGATGCTGCACAATGGAGAAAATTACTATACAACAATAGAAGTCAATTAAAATGACTACCTTCAGCTTACCATGACAGTACCAACCAACCCCGAATTCTTCACATGAAAATCAACACAGTTTGGTTTAAAATTAAACATAAACAACATCATTAGAATTATCCCGCACTACCTTGTACAGTTTTGGGGGAGGATGGAAAGGGGGATTTATCCACCATTTTAACAAGAAGATCTATTCATTCCTATTGTTGGCCGTCAGGGATCCAAGAAAAAGGAAAATGTATTGAACTTCGTCAAGGCAGTACCTTTGAAGAATCTCTAAGCTGTGCCTTAAGGCTCATAACTTGAGGCACAATAACTTGAATTAAGGGCATCTGTGCAGAAACACCACCTGAGTTTCTTGCTGCTGTGTAATGTATTAATTCAGAAATTACTGCAAAAACCATCAAAGGGAATATCAATGCATCAATTTCTTAAGTTCTAATAGAATATTTGAAGAAATTAAAGCCACTCATAACATTTATTTTTTAAATCTGGTATATTGGATACAACTATCATGAGAATAACTCCAAACACTGCGCCATCATAACATGTGAAAATTCATGGAATCTAACAGAAAATTAACAAATAAACAAAAAGAAAAGAAAAACTCACAAAATTTTTAAGGTTATTGCTAAACCGTTCATAACAATTCTCTAAACACCCCCTCACATGTGGCTAGGTTCTCCACAATAAGAATGCCAAAAACATACAAGTATTAAAATTACCAGATAGGCAATGAGGTTTGAATGATCTTTTGCTATTGAAAAAAGGTTTGAATGATCTTTGCCAGCTCTGATAAATTGTTGACCACCTCATCTAAAGCTTAAACTGTTAAAGAGAGGTTAACTGAATTATTTATGTTCTCAACAGTTATAAATGAAGTAATCATGAAGAATGTTTATGGGTTAGTTTCCAGACGTATATGAGAAAAGGTGAGGAAGTCAGAGTGTTAACCCTAAACATTCACACTAACATAAAACAGTCTGTTCATAAAATCATTTAGAAGGATATGCCACTAAATTTGTCTAAGATAAATTAATGCTTACAATTCAATATTCAATTTTACCAACATCAAACCAGGAAAAGGGTAGGGAGGGAGAGAGGGAGGGAGAGAGAGAGAGATGTCTTAAACTAACAGGAACATTGAGATTTCAGAGTGGGGAAAAGAAAACAAGATAAACCAAAAGAAAAGCTACACTAGAAAAAATAAATTCTTAAGAAGCAAATGTGTAAAACAGAAAAGAACGCAATAATACTGGTACAACAGCATGGGGAAAAACAATGGGAAAACAGAGAAAATATGTGATTCTTAAGTACAAAGGGACTGATTCTTATGCATACAAAAGCCAAGCTTAAGCAAAAAGAACATCAAAAAGCCCATAGCTCTGAGCTGCTGAAAAACAAAGCAAAAAAGAAATCTACAAATTGGCACCACTTCCAAAAAGAATACATAGTCAGAGGATGATCAATTGCAGGAGGGGGGGGAACATATTTGGGGATGTCAAAACCATTTGGGTCTATGAACTCATCAAAGGATCTAACCATTAAAAGCCTCTTTTCACCACCCCTTTTCTAGCAGCAAAATCATCCAAACTGGATTGTCCTCCTGAGATGCCCCAATCACCCTTATGTTCATCCAGCATTTTCAGCAAAATCCAAAGGGTATTTTATGTTGCTTGAAAACACTTTCTCAATTCATAAAGCCTGATTACTCTCCACCTGTTTAAGATATACCAATGTCCAGTTAAGTGTCAGATAATGTTCCTGTCCATAAGGATAATCTGGATCTCACAAGGTTGATGTGATTAAGGTGTTGTACTCTTGTAGAGAACCATCTTAGAAGACAGAAGGAGAATATTTTAAATATATATATCATGGTTACAGTTCCTTTTTTGGATTTTTAGCCCGTTCACTGGAACACCCAGCTCATTATTTTATGGTAACTGTGCCTGTGGGGGTGTGGGGGTCGTTTTGGCTGCAGTGCATTTCTGATGTTGGCTTATGTTTTGGTTGATTTCTTCTGTGCATTTCTGCATTTCTGCAGTGCATTTCTGTTCTTGTTGCTTTCTTCTGTGTTTCTCTTCTTCTTGGGTTTGGTTCCTCACCAAACTCCTGGGGTGAGCTAGCTTGCTGCTCTTAAGACAGAAGGAGAATATTTTAAATATATATATCATGGTTACAGTTCCTTTTTTGGATTTTTAGCCCGTTCACTGGAACACCCAGCTCATTATTTTATGGTAACTGTGCCCAACAAACAATTCATCTTCTACTTTTAAATCATCCATGGTTTGGAATTGCATAACCTTTCAAGCAAACAATGCCCTCAGCAGCTGTCAGTAGGGCTATGAGCTTCCAAGAAGAATTTCTCATAGCACCTAAGGTTTAGCTTTAAAAGATCAAGGTCAAAGCAACAGTAACTGAATACGGATAACTACCAAACAACACCGAGAGGATAGGACAGGATCCTTTTCTGAAGCTTGATTTCTATGCTATTGACCATATCAGTTTTGCATTAAATTTTCTATTTCCTTTTCCTCTCAACTTTACCACTTGACCAAAATCAAAATTAGTCAAAGGGACAATCACCAATAAGGATCCCACCCCAAAATCATAAACCAATATTCTCTTTTTATATACATAAACCTGACCTTGTCCAAAAGCCTACATTTTGTTTCATTCATTTAATTCAATGAAAAGCTTCCACTTCCAAACACTCCAAAATAATAATAAGAGAAAGAAAAAGAAAAGAAAAGCTAAATTCTCTCAAACATTCAACTGTAATGCAGACAGTTGCTCTGAAACTAACAAATGATACTGCTCAGTCTCCTACATGCATAAAGCATCCCTCTTAATGGCAAAGCTCCTTGTTGAACGAAAGACAGGAACCTTGTACTTTTCTTTCTAGTGGCTGGTAATCTCCCAACCCTATCATTTTCCCTTTGGTTTGATAATTACAGGATCAGATCATTTACTCCCATTTGGATTCTGACCCATTCTCCATGAACATCGCCATATGTTCCAGAATGAGGGAAACAATGAGCCTTAGTTTGGTTCACAACCTTCATTAACATACTGTTTACTGTTGACTACCTATATTGAATTAATGTTACTCACAATTGTACAGTGTAACCCACCTGAAAAAACTAATAAAATTTCAATCTCGCTCATCAGTAACAATCTGAGCCAAGCAGTTGCTAACAATCTCAAGGGCAGTACCAAGTAAGAATTCCCTGATCTCAAAACCCGCAACCTGACCCTGCAGCTGATCCCTCTAGCCACACGGAGGCCTACCTCACCAAGAGCGGGGCCTCTCTCCAACTGAACCTGAGCAATGGTCATCCCAAGATCAGCCAGATCTGAGGTCACTGCATCCCTCTCCACCATCAGACGGTGACACTCTCCAATAAGCAGGCCTCTGTCAGTCACAGCCAGACTTAACTCCTCTAGGAATGCAAAGAACTCCTGCACCTTATTTCATGAATGGGCAATCTGAGAGGCCTCGAAAGCAATTCGCTTATGAATCTCCTATTGAAGAGATACTATGATCGCTTTGTGGTCCCCAGACAAATTTTACACCAAGTAGACACCCAAAACCCCACACCCATGAATGAAATCTTGACAATATCATCAATATATTTTGATATCTCAAGTACCACATATGGTTGAGATAAAATAAAATGGTAATGAGTTGGGTTTCCATTGTTTCACTTTTCAGCAAGGAAATCAGACAATTTGTGAAATATTAGTCCAACTTATTGTTCAATTTGATAATTGCATAACCTTCTACGGAATATTGAAGTATTTAGTTATATTGTTGAAATCCTTTAAATAAATAAATTTAAAAATAAAAAGAATAGTAATAAAATAAATATAAAATTAAAAAAACAAAAAGTCATCCTCCTTTCACTTTTCTCAGTCTTTCAAAATGAATAGAATTTCTAACTTCTTATCTCTTGAAATTTATTAGAAAAAAACTACAACATCAAATTACAATAACGTTTCCCATGCTTATTCTCTTATACTACTCTTTTATTCTTTTTTCATTGTTTTGGACTAATTCTCATCTTCATCATTTTCTAAACATCTGCATGATTCTTTTAACAACTTGCAGGATATTATTTTTCTTCTTTCTTTTTAATGACTTGCACACAAGATTTTATGACCACATATCATATGTTTTTTCTCTCTTTCCACTTTCAGCAAAATTCTCTTATTAACTTAATTTGAAGCATCATTATTTACATGGTTAACATTAAATATCAATGTCCTATTACTGACTAATATATCCAATCAATATATTATGCAGCACTTATTCTTCACCAGATATATGATTCATCATGCATTCGATAGCGTTCCTTCTATCTTTCAATACTATGGAGCAAAATTGTTTGCTACTAAAAAATAATGCTTTCTGTTAAAGGTCAGAACAGAATGTGTTCCCCAAGTTTCCCCACTTGTTCACCCCCTCCTACCTTCATACATTCATGTTCTATTTTATCCTTCTTACGTGTCTATTACATCAACTACAAAGTGATTTCCCATGGTTCTAAAGACTAAAGGTAATCTTCTCTGTATTACAAATTTATCAGATGTCCCCGAAGGGACCCTATTGTTCTAAAAGTAATAAATATAGTTTTTTAGTCATATTACCTTTTTCTTTGACATGTTAGTTTATGCCAACACATGGAAGGCCACTATCCTTGTCTCATTGGTACGGATGATCACAATATTTGTCAAGGATCAGATAACTACCAGAATCTGGTTGTTTACTGACATACACAAACAAAACTTTGAAATATTATGTGTATTTCTTAGTAGCAAAAATAGAAAAAATCACACAATCGAAGTCTTCACATCTGATTGAGAACAATGTGCACTACAGATACCTACAAAAAGCTTACAAATACCAATGAAGCCAGTTCAAAATCATAGTGCGACCATATATAAAAATTAGTTTGTGTCAATCATTGTACCATTCACGGATGCCTCTGAAAGGATATCAGAATTCAAGCTAGAGAGAGCTGTTAGCACCAATGGGTGAGAAGCAAGTGTAGAAGCAGGGATCCTGAAACAAACAGATATTCAAACAAGTTATGAGAGTTCTATCATGTAAACTAGGGTGGGGAAGTTGTGCAAAATGGATATCATAATCACATAAGAATTTAGAACATCCACATGAACAGCCAAAAATACCCAATCACAAAGCTTTCAGTTTCCCAAGAGTAACACAGACACATGCATACACACACACACACACACACACAGAGAACTATCATCCAAGCTAACGTACATATCTGCAAACCTAACCACTACTCTCAGGTATAGAGTTATCTAAATTTCTAATCTAATAAGAGATCCTTGTTGACATACTTGGCAAAATGCACATAACCAAATACTTCCATTTCTAAGACAACCAAATTTGGAGTACAAAGAACAGAAATCCACACCTATGTCTTAGCCGAAGCCAAGAAGCAAATGCCTCAAGAACCTGCCATGTAAATAAATTATGAGAAAATCATACGAAAAAGTTATGTCAAAGCAAGCAATAATATTTTCGGGGATCAATATTAAATTATAGAATTTCATTTTTATTTAACATGCATTCAAAAGAAGAGCTCCCACCTGCTCCTTAAGTTCATTAATATTCAAGCAAGCACTCAAGATATTGAGAGCAATCTCCATTGCAGAGGTAAGTTCTTTCTCAAATTGGCGGCGTCTATCAGGACGAGCTGATATCTTGTAGTTAAATACTTCCTGATAATGAAAACAAAATATTCATTAGAAACTTCCTATTATCTATGGACCAACACTATATATAAGCAATAGCCTATATAAACATCAATTAATGCAATAAATTAGAATCACATCTTAAGGAAATCTTCAGATAACTAATGTAATATGCAAGGCAAATGTAAAACACACATATTGCATAGCACGTACAAATTTTGACTATTATAACAATTTTTCTAAAAAAAATCCATCATGTCAAAAACTGTTACACTGCCCTAAGAAGCACAGACACTTTTGTGGCATGGCGTGTCAGACACTGACACAATGCACAACTCATCGAACACCTCACGGCAACTGTCAAACACACCTCCAAATATATCTTATTATTTTTTAAAAAATTTCTAGACTTAGGCCTCGTTTGGGAACAGGCTAATTTAGTAATTTTTTTGCTATTTGGCTAAAATATGAACTAAAAAAAACTAGTATGTTTGGGATGACCTTTTGACTTTTTACGAAAAGATGTGCAAAAAGTAGAGAGAAAATAGAATCTTTGACTTTTTGGTATGGGTTGTTGGCTTTTTGGCTAATTTAGTAACTTTTTGGCTTTTTGGCTAAAATGGAGGGTTCCCAAACGAGGCCTTAGACATGCTTCCAACACTTGGAAAACACATGTCTACTGCTTAGACACACATGAAGCACAAGTTTGAATAAAATAACTTGGAATATAATGATAAAAAAATATATATAAATTTTAGCCTATTCTCATCCTTTAGGCTTTGAAAATTAGTGTTGCATTGCATTTTGTTATAAAAAAATAAATATTCATATACATAACATATAATAATTGCTTACACTATATATAATATATAATAAATATTTAAATCTATATATTTTTGTGTGTCATCCACGTGTCATGTCCGACATTGTCTGAAAATATTCCGGTCGACACATCCGTGTAGTGTTTATGTCGTGCTTCTTAGCCTATGAAGCATGGACACCGCTATGACGGTCACGATGTCGAACACTTGTTAGACATGAACATGCCCTGAACACATGTCGGATAAGCTGGAGGAATTGGACACATTAGACATGTGGGGACAAAAAAAACATCTTAACATGAAACATCATAGGTATTAAATTTGTTTCAAAAAATCACTGAAAAATACACATAAGAGAGTGATGCTTTTGTTTCTCCTTAGCCAGACCATTGAATATTATATATTCGGTGTTCATGAATATATTTCAAGTTGTACCTTTTTTAATTCCCAAAATGTACCTCAAATTTTAATCCATTTTTCCCAGATTTAAGTTAGCTTTTCTTTCCGGTACAAATGTGAGACATCTCAATCATTAACCATCTAATAATATCAACTACTATTAATTTAAAAAACCTGCCTCTTACATTGTTGGCATGTTTTATTGATAAATCAAAAGCATGGTGCCTCATGCAAGCATAATGTCACATAAACAGCATTCATCCCTCGAGTTATTTAGCTGAATTTATTTAAAAGATAGTTTGAAGTGCACATATGCATGAGCATTGCCGAACTTCTTGATGACATCACATTTACACAATTTCCTAACTTGAAGTTTATTTTGTTCTAAAAAGAGTTCTTTAAGCCACAGTCAAATCCCCAAGATAAGTAGTAGCACCCAATAACATATCTACCTGGGGCCCAATGACGCCATCCCTTTTATGATCTCATCGACAGACAAAACTTGATTTCAAATTAAATATTTCTTCTAAACAGAATTGAGTATACCTCAGGCAAAACTCTTAGTAGCTCGAGGAAGCTTGGTATGCATTCGGGGTGAGAATTCATCTCATCTCTAAGCCAACTTACAATGCCACCATCACCCCAATCTTTAGCAGGAACATGAACAGCCAATGCAGCCACAGCAAGGCTAATCTAAAAGGTGACAAATTTTAGCCAGACACATCTTTGTATTTACATACCAAGTTTTGTGTGCGCGCACAAGAGTGTATGTGGTTGTACAGAGAAAACAATAATACCTGGGTTCTAACTTTAGGGGGGCCCTTGTGAAATGTTTTCAATAAGCTCTGCATTTACAACAACCATGTGAAAGCTGGTAATCAGTCAAAGAAACTCTTTTGCATCACAAACATGAATCAATATATGCACGCAATTGCAAGAAAACAAGTTTACATGCACTAAACAGAAGAAAGAAGCATATAGACAAAACTTATTTGACACTACAAACAGTCGAAAATTAGGGCAAGAAACAGTGAGGGAAAGGGGGCACTAGGGACACCAACGTTGGCATATTTTTTTTTCAGATTGCAGGATCTTGCTCAAGATATACAAAGTTACAAACTGCCCATGCCTTAATATGACCTGCAATCCTCACACGTCTTTATAGTGGATAAGAAAGAACACTACTGCAGATTTATCAAGAAAGAAAAGGATGGAAGAACAAGCTAAGCTTATAAAGAATCTATGTAAAGCATAACTTTCAGTTCCCACTAACTATGGTATAGCATTTGCCCCTTTCAATTAGCAAACATGTAGATCCCAAGGCTCCCCCAGTAAACAATGAAATTATACATGGAAATGGCACTACCAACAAATCATATAATAACTCATTTCAAATTCTGAATGAGAGCATCATAAAAGTGTAAAAACTATAAATATTCTTACATTTAACGAATCCCGTAACGGGCGAAAAGCTTCAGAAGGCAGCTCTTCAAAATCTCGTTGTACCTGTCCATCACAAGCAAAATGCACTATGATATGTGAAAAGAAAGGCTGCTTTGATATACCAAAACCTATAATAAATGCAAATCGAAAGACATTCACAGGTGAATAGCATTATACAACAGTAACCTTTGGTACAAATCACAAATGCACAGATAATGAATAGCAGGAGAATCAGATTACCTTGCTTCTAAGGGTTTGAGAACAAAAGATTAAAGTTTCTTGATTGCTACTAGCATCATGAAGTAAATTATCGGAGACCTAAACAAGCAATAACATATTAGTAAATCTCAACAATTAAAAAAAATGAGATCCAACCAATACATGATAAGAACAGAATCAAGTACAACAATGAATATGTATCATGTTAGTTCATCCGAGGTTCATATATTAGGATAACAACCAATACATGAGGAAAGATATGTACATTAGCAGAGGAGATCCAACCAATTTTATGACTGTAGAACAAACAACATGCTTGCTATACAAAAGGTATCTTTAAAGAACCTAAGGGGGTAAAACGTAGGGGTGGGAATTCCTGACACGACTCGAACCGTGCACGAAGTTAGCGGGTTAGGGTTGAGCATTTTTCAACACGAACACGTATATGACACAATCCATGAACCCGTATAATAAACAGGTCGTGTTCGGATTGAAGCTGCGAAACCCAAAAATGACACCCATTTATTTTAGCATGTCACCCTTTAACATGAACACAACTCGCGACCCAAAAATGACCAGTTTACGACCTGTGTAACTTCATATATATATATATATATATTAGTGTATGTATATATAGATAGATAGATATTTATATTAATTAATTGAGAGTGATATCATTTTTTGCTTTCTTGATTTTTTTATCATTTTATATAAGATTTTTGTAAGAAAAATTGATGTATATTATTGATTGATTGTATTTGTGTAGATATTACAATTACAAGGATTCCTATTATATAGGAGTGTGTTTGGGAGTAGGTGGAGAGTAGGTGAAGTGGAGGTGGTAGTGGTGTAGTGGGTTAGGTTTAGTGGAGTAGGTGAGGTGGTAGTGGTGGTAGGTTTATGGTAAATTCTAACAATTTTTTCTTCTCTTTTCTTCCAAAGAAGATTTTCTTTTTTGTTCTCTTCATTTTTTTTTTCTTTTTCTTTTCTTCCAAACAAGATTTTCCAAGTTTGCTTCTCTCTCTCTCAAATAGGTTTTTGATTAGGTCAATCGTGTCATGTCGTGTCATGGTAAATAAATAGGTTTAGAAATTAATCGTGTCAATCGTGTGACCCATGGGTTGACACGATTATTAACAGGCCGTGTTCTTGTTCATACTTTCCACACACGAATCCGATATGACAAGACCCAAACATTACACACGATGCCCAACCCTAGGGAAAAGGCAAAAAATATCACTGCAAATTGATGAATTCCACATTGAAGAAGCAGCATGCAGTTGAGGTTCTATTTGAGGATAGGACACGATGATTTATTTACACGATCTATACATAAAAAGAGGCCATAACCGAGTTTGGTTCCATTAGTGTGGCATGCTGGGAGGGGCAGACAGAATATAAACCTAATTTTTCCGATAATTTGCATAAAGAGGCTACTCTGACTCAAACCCAAATTGCATGCTTGGCAAAATGTAGCCCAACTGTGAAAGGTGTATAGCCACTTCTCTACCGATTCTATTTTTGTTGGCTTCCATTTTAACCATTTCCTAGTTCGTACAAAGTGAGCAAGGTCTCAATCAAAGCCAATTCCCATAACAATTCTGCACAGCTCATCATGCCAAAGAAATCTTAGAAAATAAGAGCCAAAAGCAATCACCCAGATTGTACTCAGGTTTGACAAGTACAACCCATTTTGTAACCAAAAGAAAAATTGCCCAAATGGTTCATATTTCATAGTTGAGAATCTCAACTTGAGATTCAGTAAGAAATGAGTTGTGTAAAACATTTGTGTCAAATCAGAAAAACTCAGAATTCCAAATTTTCAAAATGATTCATCCAAATAAACAGAATTTTTGTAGATAAAAATATAAAAGAACACTATGTTCTTGACACTACAAGATACATTGGCAGCAGCATATCAAAACACAAGTGGAAGCTACTAAAGGGTTAAAATTTGGCAAGTGAGGAAGCAAAAAAGCAGCTGTGGAACTCTGGTGAAAATCCCAGTGGAAAAAATGTTGTTTAATATAGAAGACCTTATATCAACACTCAAGTTAAAGCAAGAGAGAAACTCCAATGAGAATCCTAGTGGAGAGAAACTTTCTTCAATATAAAACACCTTCCATCATACCACCGTTTTTTTACTCCAAGATAAGCTCAAGTTACATACATAGGGGTGTTTGTTTCAGCTTTTCAGAGCCAACTTATGGCTTTTAGCTTTGAAAAAGTTATTTTGGACTGTTTGGTTAAACTTATTTCAAACACTTCTGGTTCTAACAGCTTATTTTAACTCAAAAAAGCTGATTCTGAGAAGCTGCTCACCCCTTACTTCTGATTATCAGCTTCTGCTGTGGACATGTTAATTTATGGTTATACTCTTAAATTTTTTTATTTATTATTTTTTTAAAAATAGAAAAAGACTCAAATGGACTATAGATTATTATTATTATTTTTTATGATTTTTTTATTTTTTATTTTTTTAAAAATAGAAAAAGACTCAAATGGACTATAGATTATGATTATTATTTTTTATGAGAAATGTAGACAAACAAAAAATAAAAATTAATTGAAAAAGCTATTTCACAGCTTATTTAACAAACACTACTCAGCAACTTAAATCTATAATCCAACAGCTACACCAAACCAAACAGATTAACAACTTCTGATTAAAGTCATAATCTATAATCTGTTAAGTTATAATCTATAAGCTGTTTTAACAGCTACACCAAACGGGGCCATAAAATCCTAATACTTCAATGAACCCCAATTAATGGAAAAACACATTCTGACACTCTTTAATCAAAGTTTCACCAATAAATAAAGTAGGCAGGCACTAATACAAAGGTATAATACCGTGAATATAGAATATGTCTCTGGTGAATCCCCTTTGCACTCAATAAAGCCTAGCTTAACATGCAAGCGATAATTTGAAGAGAAAGCACTTATCAATTGCTGTCTGTTTAAATAAGAAACCAACTACATTTTGAAAGCAATTTACAAGTCAAAAGATGGATGGAAAAATTAAGTTTAAAAAAAAAAAACAATTTAACTAGCATGCCCAGTAATATGAAGGAATCCAAAACCAATAAATGTGACACAAAAAAATGTTTAATTAACCCTTCAAAAGACTAGTGATAGAATAAAATAGAGAATAATGAATCCCAGCAGTAAAATAAACTAGACAATAAGAAAACATATTTTGAGATTAAAATATTAACCAAAACACACCTTCGTAGCAATTACTCAGGCAAGGAAAGATCCATAAAAGAGTTGGATCAGAAGGAAAGGAAAACTACGAACTAGTACGCAGTGGAAAAATGTTCTAAATTCCTAATCATTTCAGAGGAAAGCATCCAACTGCAAGTTGGATCAGAAGGCCAGTAAACATGAAACTCTTCTAATGATGTATGAGTTGTAGAGTAATAAGGAATTTCATGCTAACATTACCATTAAAGTGTGTTCCCTCAAAAGTTAAGAAAAATCTATATTTCCATAATCTTATATAAGTTAAGATCAACACAGTACAGAGAGACCATTGTTTAAGCAAAGAAAGAAACAGAAAGAAAAAGGATTCCAGTGAAAAAAATTTTATGTTCTCTTCCTATGTTCTATAATTCCTTATTCAAAAGAAAATCTTCAAAAACAAGAAACAAGTTGTTTACAAACTATTTGCCAGTGTTTGTGCATAAGAGAGGGGGTACACGTATTAGATGTATAAATTCCATTCAAGATCAGTCAAGTCACTGAATCTTTGAATTTAGAAATAATGCCCCATGAAGAAGTCCCACTTGTGAGAAGAAAATTAACGAAAAGAATATTAGAACCCCAGTTTGAGTTTAATTGCATACTCCTTAAAGTAATTAACTGGTAGAAATATAAGAAAATTTCCTCAAGAAACAAAATATGATTCAAGTAGACGTGTATAGATGACACATAAAAAGTAAGATACTTCTAGATCAATTTTCTTTTAACAATTAGACATCCAACAATATTTTTCAACAAAAAATTAAGCATCCAATAAAATATAATCTATTCTTTTCCAAATTAATAATGTAGTTTGTAAAAACACATTTCTAGAAGTATTATGACCCCCTTTTTTTACATGTTGTCCTTCCAAAACTCCACCCTCCCTAGATTTTAGTTCATTAAACTTTCCTCCGAAGAAAACCTTAAAGGAATCAAATAAGAAATAATTTTGGGATCACTTTGGATTGTTGAATTCACCATTTTGGAATGAACGTACACCATGGTTTGGAACGTGTTGGAGAAGAATGACAGAACAAGATCTACCAGTCCCATGAAGCCAAACTGATGATTTGGCAGCTTCCCTTTGCTGTCCGAATTCTAAAAGCATAAATCACAGTAATTTTTATCTTCCCCGCATTTCTTGAGTATTGAAAGGTCAAGGAGATTATTTGCTCATAACCAATAAATACTGTTCTTTTTGAGATAAGAATGAAAGGAAAGACAGCTTTGATCCAAGCCTTCTTTTCTCCCAAATTCCCAATTATGTACATATTAACAAATAAAACAGCTATCTGTATACATATATATCCTATTTATCAAAAATATATATATATATATATATATCCTAACTGTCAGTCCAACTTTGAAAAGTGATTTGGTACTCTAACATGCTGTTAACACCAGTACATTACAGGATGAGTTTAGATTGAGAACCACACAGTCGACGACATTCGTCTAGAATCTCTCAATGATTTAGATCTTGACTAAGATCCTGTGTTACATGGACTCTTCTATTTCCTCCACAATACCCGTGTCCACCGGATATGACATGGATAAGGGTGTGGGATATGTGTCCGACACTCGTACCCAATTTAGACACTCAGATACTTTAATTTGTGACAATACATGAAGAAAAAGAAACTCACATTTGTTTGTAAAGCAATATTTTTAGGCTCTCACATGAATTAGATATAGAAATTTCATATTTTTTTCTAAATCATATTTAATTTCTAATATATTTCTACATAATTTAAATCATCTCATCCGAGAATATTATATAATATACAATATATATGTGCATATGATGAGTCCCCGTACCCATATCCAATTTTGGATATGTACCCCAAGATCCT